TCAGAAGGCTTTAAGACTTTTACTGAACACAGCCACATTGCATACCTGTGTTTGCATTAGGAATAAAAGTGAAAATAAGTGTGCTGTATGGAAATTCAGCTTTTCTTTGCAGTTACAGTATGGATCATAACTCTAAAGTTTGTTTCCTATTTTCCTCTCTCTTTGCAGCAGCCAGTCCTTAACAGTAGTTAGAGAAAAAAAATGAATATAGATACATAGGAGATTCTCTGTTTTAGCTCAGTGCTGTCCTAGAAACCACCAGTACCTGCTTGGCTGCCTTTTCTTCCCTTGCACTGCGACCATGCTTTACACCAGGAAGAGGAAGACGTCATAGAACAGCAAGCCAAACGCAGCACTGTACTAGCTACTTGGAGGAAAAATAACTACCTCAGCCAAAACCAGGACACCTATTAAATGCTTCTCCAACCACTTAGCAACACAGTCCTTTCAAGGACTCTTGAGACATTCAGAAACAGCAATCCTTCCTCCAACCCCACAGGTTAGCAGCTCTAAAGAAGTCACCAGTTGGAAAGCTCAGTCACACTTAGAATCATAGAACAGTTAGGGTTGGAAAGGACCTTAAGATTATCTAGTTCCAACCCCCCTGCCATGGGCAGGGACACCTCACACTAAACCATATCACCCAAGGCTTCGTCCAACCTGCTCTTGAACACTGCCAGGGATGGAGCATTCACAACCTCCCTGGGCAACCTATTCCAGTGCCTCACCACCCTAACAGGAAAGAATTTCCTCCTTATATCCAATCTAAACTTCCCCTGTTTAAGTTTTAACCCATTACCCCTTGTCCTGTCACTACAGTCCCTAATGAAGAGTCCCTCCCCAGCATCCCTATAGGCCCCCTTCAGATACTGGAAGGCTGCTATGAGTTCTCCACGCAGCCTGCTCTTCTCCAGGCTGAACAGCCCCAACTTCCTCAGCCTGTCTTCATACGGGAGGTGCTCCAGTCCCCTGATCATCCTCGTGGCCCTTCTCTGGACTTGTTCCAACAGTTCCATGTCCTTTTTATATTGAGGACACCAGAACTGCACAGAATACTCCAGGTGAGGTCTCACAAGAGCAGAGTAGAGGGCCAGGATCACCTCCTTCAACCTGCTGGTCACGCTCCTTTTGATGCAGCCCAGGATACGGTTGGCTTTCTGGGCTGCGAACACACACTGCCGGCTCATGTTCATTTTCTCATCAACCAACACCCCCAAGTCCTTCTCTGAGGAGCTGCTCTGAATCTCTTCTTTGCCCAATCTGCAGCTGTGCCTGGGATTGCTCCGACCCAGGTGCAGGACCTTGCACTTGGCATGGTTAAACTTCATGAGGTTGGCATCAGCCCACCTCACAAGCGTGTCAAGGTCCCTCTGGATGCCATTCCTTCCCTCCAGTGTATCAACCGAACCACACAGCTTGGTGTCATCACCAAACTTGCTGAGGGCGCACTCAATCCCACTGTCCATGTCAGCGACAAAGATGTTAAACAAGACCGGTCCCAACACCGATCCCTGAGGGACACCACTCGTTACTGGTTTCCAGCCGGACATCGAGCCATTGACCACATCTCTTTGTGTGCGGCCATCCAGCCAGTTCTTTATCCACCAAGCAGTCCATCTATCAAATTGATGTCTCTCTAATTTAGAGACAAGGATATCGTGTGGGACAGTGTGGAACACTTTACACAAGTCCAGGTAGATGACATCAACTTCACTGTTGGCACAAAAAGCCGCTTTCACAGCTACTTCCTTCTTAATATCTTTCTCTCTAAAAAGTTTGTTCTACGCCCGACACTGAAGCTGACAACTCCCTGAAGGGCTTTTACCTTCCTACTTCTCAACAGTAACTGAAGTTAGTGCTATTATTCCCACTTTACAAATAGAAAGCAGGTCAGAAAACAAGTCACAAGTCTAAAGCAAACCACATGAAATCAATTACTTTTCAGTCCTGCACATTGTCATTTGGATGAAGCTTTAAATCTCTTGCTATTTGAAATTCCAACTAAAAACTGAAATTTATAATAGTGTTGTTTCAGACACCAGGACAGTAATGCATTTCAATTTGTTTCCGTGTCTATTACCCTTGTATGCTTGTGAGTGTCAGCTAAGTTTAGTAACTAATTAGACTGGAGTCACTATTCCATTAGAAGTCTGGATCAGTAATTCACCAAGCAGGAAACAAAACACCTCTTGTTGAAGTAAGTGTAGCTTTATTTGAGGATTTTTTAATTATTTTTTTTTTCTTTTAGAGTTTAAAGAGGAAGAAGTCATCCAGTAGCTATACAAACCTCACTGTGAGCTTCCATTTTAGAAACAACAAAGTAAGTCACACTCAAATCAACTGAAACCTCTGGCTGACATAAGTATTTTAAATCAGCTGAGCTTTGACACTGGGGCAATAGTCTGTCAAAGATCTTCCTGAACATAATTAGCTGTTCCATAGCTTTTTTTTTTTTATTTTGAAATGGAACAGTTTCAATACAAACACTGCTTTTCACTGCTCTCAACAAAGCAGCTAAACAGCTGCAAAAACACTCCTTCAACAAAGAACAACTGAGTAAGGTAATTGCCAAGGAAGAAGCAAGCAGTAACAGAAAAGATTTGATGCCGCTGTAAAAAGGGCAGCTTATTGATATAGTATAGAGAATCTTATAATACCAAGAAAGCACAAGGGCCCAGGGTTTCCTCAGATAGATACATATAAACTCGTGCTATTCTGCTATTGCAGAAGATGTTACAACTAGGGGTGAGGGATAGACAAAAGTATCAATACCTTTGAAAAACAGAAGTTTTGCTACCAAGAAGGAAACAGCTACCTTGGAAAGATTACAGTATTATAAAACCGTTGTAAGAAGTACAGGATTAACCCACTGTGGGTGTTAGAAACTGTGAAGCAAAAGCAAAATGAGGTCAGTGTGGAATCCCTGGCAGAATTTGATCTGGTACCAAAGTACTTCAGTACTTTTTGAATTTTAAAAATCAACTAAAATCTACAGGCAGTAAGAGGTACAGCTTTGAAATTTCCACAAATACTCAGAATCTCACAACTGTCTAACAAAATGCACACAAATCCCAGAAGAAAATAATACACCTCTGCCTCAACAAAGGGGAAAGCCCTAGATTCTCAGTCTTGTGCACTGCCCTAGGATGGTCAATGAGAAACAGCTGAAGCAACAGAACACTGTTGTAGCACTGCTCTCCCTGCTTTGCAAGGCTCCTCAACTTGCCAGATAATGAAACTGGAGCAACGGACAGAAATCAGTGTACCTGGCCCTTACCCTGCTTCATAACAGACAAGACAGAGCATGTCATGACAGAGCACATACACAAGTGTGTACCTTCATGTTTCTTCATCAACCTTTGCAAAAAAAGTTAAAGAGTCAATGTTTAGAGTCACTCTTGACTCAAACACCTTTCGCTGACCATATAATTGTTTATGCTGTGCTGGTATTGGGTTTCACTGGGATTTAACAAGTTTGTACGTACTGCTGAAAGAGAAGACTTCAATAATAAACCTGTACACAGATGAGTTTTACCCAAGAGGGATACAACGACCTTGTACATCAGAGAGAACTAAAATTTCAGGTAACTTAGCATTCACACAGTCTTCCCAAACTTTCATTTCACCTTGTTCCATCCCCTTCGTCTTCTAACCTCTTTCAGTGAATCTATTTTCTACCTGCATAAGAGTTCAGCAACTACTAGAGGAGGAAGACAGGGTTGGGAGGAAAAGGGATTTTGCCAGAGGAGTAAATAATCTCACAAGTCTTGTACATGTATGTGTCAGAATCTTTGAGGCTTGTTAAAGGGCAAGGGATGGAGAACACATTTATGTAAAATCTTACGCATTTATGTAAAAAAGTTGTATGTCCAGTTTCAGACATACAACATAAAGAAAACAAAAATAGTCACTTTTGGGTTACTTTGGGATTTACTTTCCTAACCAAACCTGAATATAAAAACTACTGCAGTTGCCCAGTTCAACTGCAAAACTGGTCACCTCCTAACCACCCCCCTCACCCACATTGGCTCCCTGTCCCCAAAGACCACCAAAAAAACCCAGCCTGGGTGTGGGGCGAGAGTGAGCACAAAAATCACTAGAGTTCTGTTGGCCTATCTACATTAATAAAGCATAGCAGGATGGAGAAATGTTGCATCTATAACCTTCAAACACTGTAATACTTCCTACTCTGTAATACTACCCTTCCTGCTTTAGCATTCTCTTCTTAGTTGTAGTACTACATACTTCCAAGGTTCACTTATCCTTCCCTCCTCCCCCACCGATGAAACAGAGAACAATAAACATGAAGGCTATAACTACAAAAAGTAAAAGGTATTTGTGTTGAACTAAAAAGAAACAGAATCTTTTTTTATACCTTGAATTGAACAAGTTTGAATTATCTAAGAATACATGTCAGAAAAAATACTGTATTAAAAAAAAGGACATTAAGCAAGCAAGCACTCCTTCAGCATGCAATGAGATGGTTGACTTGGGAGGCTAATGAATTAGTATAAACAATTTGATCTAATTTAATTTAACAATGTAGAGCATTTGTGCATTGTAAAGCAACAGATAGTAATTTGTTTCTTCATTAAATCAAAGATAAAATTGCTGATTACCCTTCCATGAATTATTTTATTGAAGAGGATGGCAAACGAATTTTATATTTAGTCATAAAAGTTCATGGCTAGTCTCCAAACAACCAAATGTAACCAGTGAGGGATACCAGTGAACATAGTAGGGGCCAGCTGTGGTTTAGGACAATACATTATTCAGCCAAAACAGATTCTCACATCCTAACAGTTAGTGAACATGTGTTTATACAGAACATTAATACAGCGTTTTACATTTACTTTTTATTTCCACAAAGCATATCTAAACATCACAATTTACTATTTGCAGTCTTTAAATGTGTTAACATTATACATTTGGAATGCTGAGCATTTGGTACTGAAATGATTAAACCCCCCTCTATTTTACAGATAAATTTTTGAACTTGCCTCAAAAGTGTTACCCGTGATATCAAATTCTGGTGGAACAAAGGCACCCTCTGGATCATCTTTGAAAGCAAAAGGAAACATGTCAGATTAGAAATTAATAGTCTCATTTGTTTAAAAAATAAGCAAATTTGATGATATAAATTTAATTATATTCTCAGATCGGACACAAAAGAAACTATGCGTATAGCAGTATTTTGCTTCACTCACCTGATATACAAATAAGTTATTATCCATGATTCTAGTACTGTAAGTAAAACAAAGTGCTGTTTTCAAACTTCCTGTAACAAAATACCATATTTTTCCTACTAAGAAACAAAACACCCCAAAAGAAATACATTTTCCACACCTAACCACTTCTTGCGTTCAGACATTTATGTTTAGACCAAGTTATCACCTAAGCTAGTGCAGCTCAGCTGTGGTTTGCAGGCTTTATTTGATTAATGGGACATTTCCATTCACTGTTTTACACTGCAGACTTAGGTGATAAGGGTTCAAGCACAAAACCAACCTGAACAGCTAACTGCCTCTTCATCTACCAACTAGTTTAGAACCTTGACCCTTCTGCTTAGTTTGTTTTAATTATGATAAAGAGTTGAGGAAACACATTCCCCACTTGTGTGCTGTTAGCAGGGAACTGAGCTACTGCAGTAACTACTCCTGAATAAAGAGGTAGAAGAAAGAAAGGAACACCTTAAGAGAGATCAATGCTGCTGTAGCATCTAACCAGGCATATATTATCACACTGCACTGAAGTCACATGACCCCACTAAATGACATCAGGGGATTAAAAAAAAAAGTGCCAGACTAAACTCCTACTTTTCACTTACATATTCTGCTCACCTAGTCTACCCTTCTGTGAAGCCAATGGATGATTGAGATAACTTACAAGCAAAGACTGCAAGTTTCTCTTCTCAAAAGGGAAGGAAAAAAAAGGGTATGCTCACAGGTGTAGTATACTCACCACTGCTTTAGGTCCAATAAAGCTTTTGTGACTGTATTTTAGAAGTGAAATGCAAAGCTCTTTTACTGTGAGGATACTAAACTCACTTGGTCTTTTTTTTTTTTTTTTTACATAGTCATACATTGCAGCTACCTGGCATGGCTGACTATCCATGTGCCACTAACTGATTTAGTTTCTTACTATGCTCCTGAATCTACTTTCTCACTGAAAAAGAGAGCACCCCTTATTTTTTTTCTGATATTTGGGGAGGCAGAAGAGTAAGAGAACTAATGGACAGAAGATGTTTTGTCCTCTCTTCTCCTCTCCAGACTATTGCTCCTTCTTTTCATCTCCCCACTACCTTTTCCCTTTCTTTCCACAGAATACTTTAAAGATTGTACAAGCATATAGTTTTATGTCACTAGTAAAGCTTGCTGTATTCTTTTACTATCATGTTTACAATGGAATTTTTTCTGATCTGAAGAGACAGGATATCAGAGCCCTTGGCAGAACATCCTATTGAATGTTTGTCACTGTAGCACCGCAGAACCTGCAGGAAGCAGAACTTGCTGCTAAAGAGAGGTGACAGGCTGTTCATTTTCTCTCACTGGCAAGCAAATCCAGAGGTTATAATTTTCTTCAAGAAGAATAAATCCATAGCTAACTATAGGAAAGCAAAAAGGACAAAGTCCCCAAGTACCTATCTAGCAAACTTTATTTTGACCAAATAGGAATAAGATTTGCAGGGAAGAAAAAGAGTGAAAGACAGTGGACCATGAATGTGGGAAACAGAATATATACATAACTTCTTGCAGTCCTAGGGAAAACACAACTTTCTTTAAAGAGAACTAATGAAAATTCCCTCCCTCAGAAACGAACATGACTTCAGGGAACCAAATCTTTGTCCATTTGCTTTGCACAGGAATTTGTTATCCCACATTTTAAGCACTTGAATACAGCAAATACAAGGATCAACTGTTTGCCAGCTATTCAATTAGAAGAAGAAATTGATTTTTCTCTTTCCTAGTAGCAATTTTTCATCCACCAGATTTATTCTCTTCACTAAGTCTTTCACATACCCTTATGAATACAAATCTGTTTTTAACTTCAAGTTATGACAAGCTCATGAAAATAAAGGAAACTGATACCACATTACCCTATTAACATGGAACTAAAAGTTGACTCACATATTTGGGAAATTTAAGCACAAAACAAATGCAACAACAACAACTATAAAGATATATTTTCATCTTTATTAATTATATTTTTTGATGTTACATGCTTATTTAATATACTATCTTTAATTCTAAAGAAGGCAGCAAATATTCATTTGTTGCAAAGTTAGTTTACCCCATTTTTATCTAACTACTGTCATGTAGATTTCCACTGAAAGAATAAACACTTATTCTGACATAGATTTAAAACTAAATTAGGTTAAAGAAAACATAACCTGAGCAGTGTGTATACAGACCAGAACAGCTCTTCTAGTTACAACCTGACAAAATTTTAACAAGGACTACAGAGCAAGAGCTAGGGTTTCTTGTTTTGTTTTGTAATATTCCTAACAAGCTCAAGACCCATCATTTTGAGATGGGTCATGTGAAAAGGGAACAGTGACAGTGACATGCTTTTATGCCTGTCCTGAAATCAGAAGTCATATTTTAAGTTAAGCATCCCCCCATTCATCTACTACAATATCTGAAGATTTCATATGCTACTACATACTGGGTTTTAGCATATTAAAATTCATTTCTCAGTCAGTCATCATACTTGCTGATTCTAAAAACCATGACTTAAAATAAATCCAAAAAAATCCTTATTCAAGAGAGCTTCTCCTTTCTAACAGTGATTATGCACCAGAATTGCCCCATTCTCTGTGGCCACAATCATCAAGATACACTGAACATCAGATTTCTCTAGAAATAGCACATATCTGTGAAATGAGAAGAAATGGAAGAGCCCAAGAATGTGCTTTACACAGGTAAAGACTTGTGCACACAGATACACAAATACATACTCTACAGTGTTTAAAATGGATATAAATCACATTCTTCTGGATAAGTCTTAAAATCACTAGAATGAATCTTCTAAGAAAACCCATAAAAGCCTTTGATCACCAATCACAAAACTGAGCATGCAGTTTCATATGGACCTATACTCACCCATTCCTAAACAAGTTTTTGTTTTCTCTTTATTTTAACTACAAGTCTTAAGAATAGAATATAATGCTTTCCTACAGTCTCTCACTATGAGTTTCCACAGTTCAAAAACAAATGGCCTGGAAACACAAATACTTACCACTGAGCTGTTCCATGAAGCATACATTGCCATTGGTGTTAAAAGCCAAAGTATCAGGAGTGATGCACAGTGTCTGGAAGATTGCAGAATGGGCAATACTCTTCAGAGAATGGCAACACTCCAGGCAAACTGCCCAGATATCTTGCTCAGTAAGACAGCTATCCCGCAGCGACAAAATATCAGCAAGGGACACATTCTCCTGCCAAGATATGAATTAATAAATTACCCTGGATTTCATGACACTACTTTGTGTATCGTAGATTACATTTGACACAATTGGCTCAGAGTAATCTTTCCAGCAAGTTCTCAAACTTTCTAGGACTAACACCCCAAGGAACACCAAGTGCATGACTTTGCTCTTAACACAAAGAGTCTCTCAAGAAGCAGTTAGCCTGAACAAAGGTATTGTAATATGTTAACATCCTTAAAATAAAAAAAAATAAATAAAAAAAAGACATTATGGGAGCTATGCGAGTTACACAAACACTGCATCAAAGTTAGGGAGGTAAAAGCAGAGAGACTAAGTTAAAACATTTTGTTTAACCCATGTCTCCCTAAAGTTCTCCCAGGAGTGTTCGGATAAACTCTTTAAAAATTGTCTTCACTGCAGTTTTCCCTACCATCTGTGATCTCGGAAGGAGTACCCTTTAAATTAGCCTGCCTTAAGAATGATGCTGTTGTGAAGTTTAGTTCCATAGACTATTTAATAAACACTCAAAAGCCAAGCAAGTCATAGGAAAAGTGTTCTTACACTTTGACTGAAAACCAAACACTTTGGTTGTTCTAGGCCTCCCCATTATACCCAGAGCTCTCAGTGATCAAAATAGCTCTTGGACTTCATTTCTAAGTTACTATCCTAAATTATAAGCCAACTTTCTTTGACCCCACTATCAGAATAAGGCTGTGAAGAGTCCATTTTCAAAAAAAAAAAAAAAGTCGCTGCAATGTGGCTTTCCTAGGCAAGATATTCAGAAATAATGCATAGCTCAAAGCAGCAAGCCTTTTTATGTTTTTAGAATACAAAACTAATACATTACCCATAGCTACAGAGTAAAGCTTTTATGAACATAAAGGAATGACAAAAATCATATGAACAAAACATCAATCCCACCTGTAAGGAGAAATACACTAACAAAAATGGAAGCGTCTACAGAAGTTACTTTACATCAAACCATACCACTATGAATCACACATAATATTGTCTCATTTACATGAAGTAATTAAGAATAAAATATGTTTCTGAATGATATTAATTATACCTTGAATTGAAGATGCAGCTCTATATTACTTGAAGTATGAGATAGCAAAACAGATTGTGAGGTATCTTAAGAGTTCAGAAAACCATGGTGGCTTAAACTTTTAATTCCTTGGAAAATAAGAGTTTAAATTTTCTTTTCATACCTCAGTCCTGGTGAGCATAAATGATATTTGGATTACCATTTACAGGAAGGTTAACAGTTCGTTAACATGTTTTTTGTTGAGAGAATCAAGTATTGCACTTATAATAGCCTTCAAACACAAAACCATTTCTAGTTCAAAAATTTATTTTGCTTTTTAGTCTGAAGCAGAATGCTTAATAAATGAGGGAAAAAAAAAATCCCAAACAAACAAAAGCCAGCCAAACAAAAACACAAACAAAGAACACCCCCCCCCCCCCGCCCCAAAACCCAACCTAAAACAAAGAAAAAAATCCAGGTGGGAAATAAAGCACACTTACTATTGACTGGGAAACTTAACTTCTACTATCAATATTCTAATTTTCATCAGCCTAGAGATGGATTGATTTACTAATGGCAGTATTACTACAGTGCTTTCTAGCATTCATCACAAACTCTGGGCTCATTGAGTTTAGTCCTACGTAATAATGAAGAGCAAAAGCTCTTACAGTTCAGGTACACAAGACAAACGATCTCATTTTCTTTGTGCTGTGCCTAGCACCATATGCGTAATGCTGCCATCATGTTTTAGGGGTGGATGAGGAGGTTTTGCATATCTTTATGGTGAACTTCTTCCAAGCATGAAGGGCAGCACAGTGATTCCTGTATCTGAAAACATTAACATATGAAAAGGAGCTGGACCACAAGCCAGCTTTTTGAAGCTGACCAAACTGATAGGTAGGATGAGGATAGGCTTGGAAAGGAAACAACAAAATGCTAATTCTATGGCAAGAAAAAGTTTAAAAAAAGAAAAAAGAAATAGAAATTCTATGATCAAAGCAATGAACCTGTAATTATTTTTATTTTAAACTCTCATAAAATCAACCTTTAAGACAGCCTCAATATCAAATTCCAGTCACAATAAGGACTTGATAGAATTTACGACAAGCTTTGAGGCTGAGCTCTACAAGCAGGTATTAATCATTAGTAGGAATATCTATAGCATAAACCTACAAAAACATCTCTGCCTTGTGGTTATTTGGGGAGTAAAAAAAGATAATAATGAACTCATGTCAGATAAACTTATCTTCCTTCCAGGTGATGGGACAGTTAGGCAATACATAAAAAAAACAAACAAAACAAAAAAAACCCCAACCTCACAAAAAAGGAAAAAGGAAGGGGAAAAAAAATTAAAAAAAAAAAAAAAGAAAGGCCTATGAATGAATGTTCAGTAGCTTCAATCAGCAATAAATGGTTAGGTGAAGATCAAAAAACCAAAGCAAAACACCACTACCACAACCATAATGCAAGCCTTCCTCTTTTCCGTGCTCCAGGATGTGAAGGAATTTCTTCACAGAAACCATGTATTTCTCCACAGAAACCATGTATTTCTCCAAAGATTACGCTATCTTGACCTAAGTTACTAAAACTGCTGTTGCCGCAAAGCGAGGCCGTTGGAGAGAATGAAGCATTGAAAACACAGAGACATGCAGTGGACTAGTTTGCATCCCCAAAGCCATACAGAAACAAAGTTTTCACTGTAGTCTGCATCCCCAAAGCCAATACAGAAACAAAGTTTTCACTGTAGGGAAAGGAAAAAAAAAAAAAGAAAAAGTCCTTTTAAGACTACAACACAGAAGGTTCTGGCAAGCTGAAGCTTCTGGTGAGGCATGACATCTATACTTGGACAGCTGAAAGTTGGTCCACTTGAATCACAGGAAAACGCAAGTGTGTTATGTAACAGAGATGCTGACGCCTTTTCCCTCATCTCAGTAAGATAAACTTGTAAACGCAATTACTGTTTAATAACTACAAAAAGTGAACAGGTCAGACAATCATGCTTTAATTATTCACTTTAGCTCTCATTTTATTCTTATATTTTCTTCAGAAAATCTAAAACAGTGCACTAGCATATAATTAGGCAGAGGAAGAGAGAGCAGGAAGAGAAAACAAATTAATTGACCACAGGTAACTTCTCAAAAAACCTTAAAATTAAAGATTAAGGAGTGTGAGACAAAGTCCTAGAAAAGCAAGGCATCTGAAACAGACCCACATCCTTTGCATTTCCTACTCTTCAGCTCAGGCAGCTTCTTGCTTCACATATTGGCTTTTGTAAACCACATACATTACACACCAACCTCATTCCTTATACAGGTCCAGTGAGGAAAATCACAGGCTCTACTAAATGACTAAGCATTCACAGTTTTCTGGCACCTAAGCCTTTTTGCCAATTCACACAAACTTGAAAACAATCTGTTCCAAAAACAATGAAAAATGTGTCAACCAAATGTTAACCACTCATTAAATTCCTCACATTTTAAGAAAAAACACTGGGTTGCCTGGGTAAGCCCACTGAATATGCTTCAAAGCAGCCCTTTTAACTTCTCTAGCTGCCAGGTGACAGGTCATGCTCATTCTCTCAACAAGAATATGGAAAATATTAATATATCTGGAATCATAGAATTGTAGAATAGTTAGGGTTGGAAAGGACTTGAAGATCATCCAGTTCCAACTCCCCTGCCGTGGGCAGGGACACCTTACGCTAAATCATATCACCCAAGGCCTCGTCCAACCTGCTCTTGAACACTGCCAGGAATGGAGCATTCACAACCTCCCTGGGCAACCTATTCCAGTGCCTCACCACCCTAACAGGAAAGAATTTCCTTCTTATGTCCAATCTAAACTTCCCCTGTTTAAGTTTGAACCCGTTACCCCTTGTCCTATCACTGCAATCTCTAATGAAGAGTCCCTCTCCAGCATCCCTACAGGCCCCCTTCAGATACTCGAAGGCTGCTATGAGGTCTCCATGCAGCCTTCTCTTCTCCAGGCTGAACAGCCCCAACTTCCTCAGTCTGTCTTCATATGGGAGGTGCTCCAGTCCCCTGATCATCCTCGTGGCCCTCCTCTGGCCTTGTTCCAACAGTTCCATGTCCTTTTTATGTTGAGGACACCATAACTGCACACAATACTCCAAGTGAGGCCTCATGAGAGCAGAGTAGAGGGGCAGGATCACCTCCTTCGACCTGCTGGTCATGCTCCTTTTGATGCAGCCCAGGATAAGGTTGGCTTTCTGGGCTGCAAGCGCATGCTGCTGGCTCATGTTCATTTTCTCATCAACCAACACCCCCAAGTCCTTCTCCTCAGGGCTGCTCTGAATCTCTTCTCTGCCCAACCTGTAGCTGTGCCTGGGATTGCTCCGACCCAGGTGCAGAACCTTGCACTTGGCATGGTTAAACTTCATGAGGTTGGCATCAGCCCACCTCACAACTAAATAGAAATGATTGCTGAGAATCCATAATCAAGGTATATATTTAGCAGGTGAGAAAAACGGGCTTAGGCCTTCCTCATGCACAAGAGTTGACCTTCAGTTTTCTTGCACCCTGAAGAAACACTGTAAGAGACTTTTAATTTTAAAACTCACTTTTAAGTCCTGATTGAGTTTGGGTTCTTGACACAGCAAATAAGAAAGTCTGCAAGATCTAATTTGGGGAAAAAATGGCTCATATATGGTTTACCAAATTTCCACTTAAAAATCCAAACCAACCAACCAACCAACTTAAAACCAACAAAACATTCCGCCCAAACATTCAGTGGGGGGGGCTAAGGAACACACTTCATGTGGAAAGATACAAAGATGAGCAAGAGCAACAAAAACAAAGTGCAAAACCACGCACAAAAACAGATAAATCTGAGGGTAGAACTGGGTTTAGCTACAGGTTATTTCAGGTTATGTGGCATAGCAACTGAACAAACAGCAACAGGGTAGGAGGAGATGAGTGTACAAAAATCTGGTTTGTAGCTACAGGAAACACTTTCGTTTGTAATGAGAAATTTCCCAGTATCAGGTGTGACAAGGTCATTCACTCCCCGACCCCAGCATTAACCCACGGCTGCCATGGGAGTTACAAGACACCCTGCACTCGAAGACCATGACTTTGCCGTTGTGTGGAGAGGGTGCACAGGGATGCACTACGCCCAACTTGGTCGCCAGAATCGCCAGGCAGAAGCACGGGAGGAAAACACCGTGAACCCCAAGGGGGCAGTTTTGCTGCCGTGGCCTGGCCGCTCCTGGAGGGCCGGGTGACCCCCAAACTCCGGCCGGCGCCGGCGCTCGCGCAGCTGACCCCACGGCACAGGCAAGAGGAACGAGGCAGCAGCGGTAGTAGTGGGGTGCCGGCTACCCCTGAGGCCCCCTCATCACAGGTGAGTGCAAGGGCGGCGGCGGCGGCTCCGTCCCTGCACCTGCCTCACTCACCTCATCCTCCAGCAGCGTCGGTAGAGGCTCGAAGTCATAGCAGTTCACCTCCTCCTCCTCATAAAACACGTCCTCTGCGGCGCCAACAGCCTCCATTCTGCCCGGCGAGGGAGCAGGGGCTTCACCTCCGCAGCCTCTCTACACGCCCGGACCACGGCCCTCGGCCCCCGCCGCGGCTCATGCCCACACCCGCCTGCGGGCTGCCCCGGAGGCGACCCCCACGGCGTCGGGCCCGCGCCCGCCCTGCTTTAACCCTTTCCCCTCCCGCCGGGCGCCGGCCACGGGGAGGCCCTTGCCTCTCCCAGCGGCCACCGCCGCCCGCTCAAGCCCTCGGCTGGGGCAGCGCTGCCATGGCAACGCGGCCCGCCACCGCCTCGCCCTCCCGGCGCGGCCTCACTGCGGCGGCGCCCGCCCTCCTGTGGCGGTGCCCGCCCCAAGAGTCACAGGGCGCGAACCCCGACGTGTGCCCGAGCCCCTTCCTCCCCGCTGACGGGTGAGCTCCCGGCACGAAGGCGGTGCCGTGGCGCTGGGCCCTGAGGGGCAGCCCGCCGCAGTGCGAGCTGCGGCCGCCGGGCGCCGCGGGAGCCGGCTGAGCTGCTCTCTCCGGGAGAGCGGTGGCGGCGGGAGGGAGGGATAGCAGTCTAGTGTCCGTCGAGAGGCCGGGGAGGCGGCGTGACCTGGTGACAGGGGTGCTGTCTGTCCGTATGGCCGGGGAGCTGCTCCCACCAGCGAGTTTTCCTTCCGTGGGGTTACCTGCGTGCCCGTCTGCCTCGGCCTCGTTTTATCGTCCCGGCTCTCCAAATCGCTGGATTTACTGCATATACCAGAGTTTACAATTAGGCAGGTGACCAAATGTCTGTGGCTTGATCATGGCCATAACTCCTGAGGCAGGTCAAACGGTGACAAGCACGAAAACAGTCTGGAAATACCGATTTTCATTTTTTCCTAGCCCTTCTTTGCTATACACAGTGCTTAAGGTGCTTAAAACAACTTTATTAAGGCTCCTTTTGAAACGAAGGCTCAAGATCAAGGATTCCTTCAGAAATACCGCCTGTGTAGGCACATGTTTTTAAGAAAGCCCCACTGGAAACTGCAAATTGTGTTGTGTAAACAGGTCGAAGCCATTCCCCTTTCTGCCTGGGAAAGGGAATTGGCTTGGTGGAGAAGTAACTGCACTCACTGCATGAACCCCTGAGCAGGTGTCCCCTGATTGAATTTAAAGCCTGTGTTGCAGGGACATGGAAATCTTACATCTCCATTGTAACCAGAGTGGCAGATGGAGAGAATAAACTGCTTTCTCCTGTAATTAAATTTCACAACTACAGGTAGTTGGAAAATAATAGTGCCATTTTCATTATCCTGCTTTCCTGTATGTCTATAATTCTGTGTCAAAATGGAGTATGTTAATGAATTAATATGTACACAGTGCATCAAGCAAAAGCAAGGGTTTTATATTTTTTGTATGTAGTACGCTTTGGAAAAGATTAATTAGCTATTAAAATATACATTAACAAACACTGTGAAGAAAAGAAAGATTAACTGCCTCATAGAAGTAATCCTGCAGCAGTCGTAAGATTTCTCCTAATTAAAGGTTAATTGGATAAATTTTGCAGTTACACCATGCTACTGAGAAAACACCTAAACCCAGGCAGATTGGAATCTTTCACGTATATGCTGTCTTTTTACTAACATTTTTGAACTAACTTGTGGTGAACAAAATGTATATATATTTAAAATGATAGGCATTTAAATGTGGACAAATGTTAAAACATGAGAACAGTGAGTGCCTGATCCTTCTGAAAATAAAGCCCAACATGAGACTAAGAACAGTATTATTATAAAATGTTTCTTAAAATGTATTTCACCAGCATATTTAGCAAAATGTTGTCCTCAGACAGTACAATGTACCCAAGAAGAACCTTGAATTCTGGACTCTTGCAGGCTGGACTTACAACTGCATTGTAAAGAAAAATAAAAGAGAAAAATTTCTTTAATGCGTAAATTGGGTCTGAAAATCTGTGCTCCTCCATAAATAGATCTTAGAAAAGTACTCCATTGCAATTACTGCTTGAGCATTCACAAACATTTCTGAAAAATTATAGTTTAAGTCAAATCTCTGGATGCTGCATGGAAATTCACATGCTAGTTTTGAAAGGATCGAGATTTTTTTGTTGAATAAGAGAAATTTCCTTGGTAAAAGGAATTAGTAATTGAGTGATGAGGCATTTCCTTGTAAGATTCCTTATTGGGACCTTGAATCTAGGCTTGGGTAGATTTTGTCAGAGTAAGTGTATCCAAGTGATTCGAGGTGCTTGAGACCTGTCTCCTGCTTGTTCTGGTCAATTTACTTGCTCTGCTGAAGAACTATTTATATCAAATGGAATATGTACAAAGTGGAAAACAAAATGACATAAATACAGGATTTCTCTGTAAATGAAAACCTGTAGCAGACTTAGCCTTATCACAAGTGCCCTGATAGGCAGAAAAGCCACTGGAACTGATACGGTCTGATAGATCCAGAATGATTGCTATATTAAGCCTATGCTCTCCTCAGTAATTCTGTTGTTTTGCTTTCCTTATTGGTCTCGCAGTTGAGGCAACTGTCAGAAAAGGCATTTTAACTTGCTTGATACATTCATGTAGTGATTCTCAGAGTAGAATATTCATTCTGATTAACATTTGCAATTAATCATCGCCCATGGGAGTAGCTGGAGGACACGCAACACTACACAGTTCAACATTAGAAAAGCCCCACATGCAGATGAAGCTGTCAGTTTGTCTGCAGGCATATTTTCTGTTCTTTATTTTCCACAATATTGCTTAAGAAACGTAAAGTTCTTAAAATGTCTTTATCTATCTACTATTGGTAGGCATTTTTTGAAAGATGTTTTGATGGATATGTGAGTGCCTGTGGAATTTATTTTCTGAGTCTGAGGTCGGCTCAACATGCAAGTGAATACCATGTTAAAACCAGAAATACATAGAACAGCAATCACATTTTTAAAGGTGAGTGTTCTCAAAAGGCAGAAATAAAAATATTATTTTGCACTACTAATATTCTATAGCCTGAAAAGAAATAACAAATGTTGTCATAGATTAAAGAGATACGCTGTAACTAAAATTGCTTTGGTAACGGATATTTGAAACAGGTTTCACTATGGAGGTACTGGAGAGAGGTTTCATTTGCCTGTGATCAGATTTTAGAATTGTAGAATCATAGAATAGTTAGGGTTGGAAAGTACCTAAAGATCATCTAGTTCCAACCCCTCTGCCATGGGCAGGGACATCTTACACTAAACCTTGTCACCCAAGGCTCTGCCCATATGTCCAATCTAAACTTCCCCCATTTAAGTTTTAACCCATTACCCATTGTCCTATCACTGCAGTCCCTAATGAAGAGTCCCTCCCCAGCATCCCTATAGGCCCCCCTTCAGATACGGGAAGGCTGCTAGGAGGTCTCCATGCAGCCTTCTCTTCTCCAGGCTGAACAGCCCCAACTTTCTCAGCCTATCGTCATATGGGAGGTGCTCCAGTCCCCTGATCATCCTCGTGGCCCTCCTCGTGTTGTTCCTCCATGGAACAACAGTTCCATGTCCTTTTTATGTTGAGGACACCAGAACTGCACACAACACTCCAGGTGAGGTCTCACAAGAGCAGAGTAGAGCGGCAGGATCACCTCCTTCGACCTGCTGGTCACTCTCCTTTTGATGCAGCCCAGGATACGGTTGGCTTTCTGGGCTGCAAGCGCACACTGCCGGCTCATGTTCATTTTCTCATCAATCAGCACCCCCAAGTCCTTCTCCTCAGGGCTGCTCTAAATCTCTTCTCTGCCCAACCTGTAGCTGTGCCTGGGAATGCTCCAACCAAGGTGCAGGACCTTGCACTTGGCATGGTTAAACTTCATGAGGTTGGCATCAGCCCACCTCAGAAGTGTGTCAAGGTCCCTCTGGATGGCGTTCCTTCCCTCCAGGGTATCAGCCGAACCACACAGCTTGGTGTCATCGGCAAACTTGCTGAAGGCACACTCAATCCCACTGTCCGTCACCGACAAAGATGTTAAACAAGACCGGTCCCGACTCCAATACCTGAGGGACACCACTCGTTACTGGTCTCCAGCTGGCCACTGAGCCATTGACCACAACTCTGTGTGTTGCCATCCAGCCAGTTCTTTATCCACCAAGCGGTCCATCCATCAGATTGATGTCTCTCCAATTTAGAGAAGGATGTCGTGTGGGACAGTGTCGAACGCTTTACACACGTCCAGGTAGATGACATCAACTGCTCTTCCCCTGTCAATCAGCTCCGTAGCCCTGTCATAGAAGGCCACCAAATTGGTCAGGCAGGATTTGCCCTTAGTGAAGCCATGCTGGCTGTCACCAAGCACCTTGTTGTTTTTCATGTGCCTTAGCATGCCTTCCAGGAGAATCTGCTTCAAGATTTTGCCAGGCACAGAGGTGAGACTGACTGGTCTGTAGTTCCCTGGGTCATCCATTTTCCCTTTCTTGAGAATGGGGGTTATATCACCCTTTTTCCAGTTGTCAGGAACTTCACCTGACTGCTATGAGTTTGATTATGAACTGAGATCTCTTCAGCAGCAATAACACCAGGAATCACAATTATTAGAGATTTTGATTTCTTAAGTGTAGGTTAGAGCTGAAAAACTACTGAGCAAAGGTGAACTTGAGGCATAGTGTAGATATTATACATGAGAAACGTCTTGACCAAAAAGTCATTGAATCAACACAGAGTTTGGTGTATGATCACAAGCAAGGCAGAGGGACTGGATCTAATACATCTGATTTCAGTCTTCTCATAGTTACAGCACGCTTCCCTTAAGCTCTCTCTAATTTTTGGCAAATGCAATAGAGCTAGGGCAGTTTGTAATTTCTGCATAAGCAGCGCTTGCAGCAAAGTAGCTGACTTGATTTCTGTCTCTGTCAGAAGCTGATAGCAGACTTCCAGAGAAGAGTTTAGGAACAAGGTAGTTATGTACTATGTGCTTCCAGTACAGTCTCACAACCTCCAAAGAGTCACAGTTCAGATATTCCCTAAGGCAGTGGTAGTGTCTCCTGGTTTAAGAGACACTGGAATATTTTTCTTTAATGAATTTGTTCATTCACTTTTTGAGTCTGAATAGTTTTACTGTCCACCATATCCTACTGCAGAATTCCTCAGCTGACCCACATATTGCATAAAGTAAATTCTTTGTTTCATTT